ATTGTAAGTCCGCAGACATGCCGCTGTGCCACTGGGGGCCGGAAATATAGAAAATAATATTAAGTGGAAAGTAAATTTAAAATTGACAATTCGGAGAGCGAACAAGTGTCACATGATACAGAAAAGTAAAGACTAAGAATTTATCTAAAATATTTCCTTTTGAAATAAAAACAATTAAAGCATATAATATAAAATTTGATTTTTAAAGTACGTTTTGATGCCAAGTTATTGATATTTTCGTGTTCTTTATTAAATGTTTATTGAACTGTATCTTTATTGAAGGGTTGAGTTGACTGTGTTAGGTTTAAGAGCTTAAAGGTACAGGAGAAAGTTATAATACTCATAGACCAAAAGCATTTATGAAGCTGATTGCTTTTTAATGTTAGAATGAATGTTGGCTTAAGGAATTGAGGGCAAGCCAGAAACAAAAAGGGAGAAGAAATGTGTTGTATGCGAGCATAACGAGCATTCTCAACCTTCTTATTTTGATGAATAAATTAAAAGTCTTGTTTATTTTTAGATTAATGCAGTTTTTGTATATTACATGGAAAGTCATAAGTTCATTTTGTTATAGCTACCATTTATATATATCATTCCCATGCAGATAACATCTGGTCAATCCATGTTTGGTATGACTGTGAATCTGCGCTTTGTGAACAAAGGTCTACAGCAGTGTCCTCTAATGGTAGATCAGAAATTATCTCATATATTTTGTTATATTTGAATGGGAATGCCCAGTCACGTGCTAGTACTAGTTGCTCTGGGTAAGTCTGACACTACTGATTCAACGGGTAATGAAAATATATGTAGTTTAGAACATCAGATGGAGTGAGTTTATCAGCTTAGAAATAATTCTTCAAGGAATATAACCAGGCTGATCAATTCAAACCTTCAGTAAAGGCGTCCATCCATTACATATAAAGTGAAATACACAGACCGTTGATTTGTGTTGTGTTATAATAATTATTACTTTTTCATTTTGTATCACACTTTCTGACCAGTGTATTTATTTCTTAGCATAGACTAAGTTAGTTCTAACAGAACTCAGTTTTACTTCATAGTTTCTCTTGTTGATTCTCAAATTATACAGTAAACCTAACCAATTTACTATTTTAGAAATTTACTATACCCGAAAATACCATAGGGTTAAAACAAAATACATTTGGGCATTTTAGTTCAAAGTGGATCTTGAGACAAAATAGTGAGAAAATTCTAAGTTTGAGAAACAAAATTAATTCAAATATATATTATTCGAAGGGATAGTTCATGGGCACTGGCGTAGCAAGGAGAGGGAGGATGCGGCCATGGTCACCCTTTGGCTTGTATTTTTATGATTCGCCAATTTTCTCCGTAATTCCTAATTTCGCTATGTAACTTTTTGCAGTTGTATGTTCTTTAGCTTCAACATACATCTAGCTCACTCAAAATCCTTTTCACGGGTTCCAAAATTCAAACTTCAGCGTAGTCGCGATTCGCGGTAGCTGAGTGACGTCAATAATATGGCATACAAATATGAATCTTAAGAACTGCACCACCACCCCATTTTCAAATTCCTGGATACACCAGAGTTCATGGGATACACTTACCACAACACTTCAGTTTTGATTCTTAGGTAAATGTTAACAGCTACATTCACATGAAAACTATTTATGTGAACATTTATATTTATTGTTTATGACAGCTCAATCATTCATTGACACAATTCTTAGTCTTTGCAATCATTTTTCAACTAGTGCCTTAAAAGAAAACTATGTATATTTACTGCAGCTCAAGGGAAAACATTGAAAGGCCTCTGAGCTTTTCCTTTTCAGAAATACAAGATATAGTGGAATTAATTTCTCTAGCCTGGTTCCTTGGTGGGACAACAGAAAGTTTGCGAACTTACAACTCTATATTCCGAATTTCCAATTTCCAGCAATGGACACAGCAGATAGCCCAATGCATCTTTAACCGGAAAAAACAAGCTGGACAAAGCCCTTGTGTCACATAAGTTACAATACTGTACCTGAATCATAGGGGGCCCAATCCTTACCATTTAGTCCATATTACATGTGATGTCTTTCCAATTAAAAATTCTCAAATTAATATCTTTCCTGTCTTCCAAGTAATTTATATGAAATTTTATAAATGATTAACATTATTCTTATGAAAAGTTGCAATTATCGGCTTATAACGTTATAAATCACACAAAAACTGTTGTGGACTACTTCATTTATGCACCCAGTGGCTCAGCGGTTAGTCTCCAGACTTATAACGCTAAATATCGGGTTCGATATCCGTGGTAGGCACAGCACAAATATCCCATTTCGAAGCTTTGTGCTTAACTACAAAGAAACAAACCTTTATTTTTCAGAATGGATGGAAATGTACAGACGAGGTTGGGATCATTATTTATTCATTCTTGAGACATTTATTCTTTTACTTTTTATTTGTAGAAAATTATTCAAAAATGTGACATCAAGTTTATTATCCATCGAGAACTAATAATTTTGTCGTAATTAATTACAGTTAATTCATTTTCTACCTGCTATGAAGAATGTAACAATGAGATTTTCACTGAACACTAAACACTCAATTAAAATAAATGCATAGATCAGATCATTATGAAGGATATATAACATATTTGTGGGAGTAATGACAGTGGACATGTAATCTTTGCAAGTAAAGAAAATACATGTTACTGTTCCTTCTTGAACGCCCTCTGTAAAACAAAATGGCTAATAGAACCGTGAAAGATGCGCAGTCTGTTAGAGGAACAAATCCTCAGTATCTTATTGAAAAAATCATCAGGTCTCGAATATATGACTCAAAGTTTTGGAAAGAAGAATGTTTTGCTTTAACAGGTATTAAATATGTTTGTTTATACATTTACAATAGTTGTATAACTACTGTTGAAGTGAGCGAGTGTTGTTCCGCAAGACGTGTGAAGAAAACTTGAATAGATTATAATAAATTATAAAGATTAAATTGACACGTCTAAATGAAAACACAGTCTTTACTGCTTGACGAAGGGCATTTTCTCGAAACGTCGCAGAAAATAAACTAGAAAAAGTTTTAATTTGGACGTATCAATTTATTGTTAAAGTGTTAAGGATGCATCAGGATCTGAAATTCGCGAACGTATTAACCGGTCCTTCACGAAAACGCTAATTAGTGCGTATCAGATTTTACTGGTCAACTCCAAGAACGCGTTATATTTATGTTCATTCCATTTATCAGTTGCAACTTACAGATATGAATTTTTAAAGAAAGACACAATTGCAGTATGTGTGTGGATATATGTGTAACATTAAGGACAACGTTTAATTGAAAACCAAAAAGTACGTATTTCTCTGTTGAAATCTTAGTATTTGTCACAATTTGTTTGGATTGATCCAACCATTCACATGTAGCAGAAACCTTTTTTCCATTTTAGATATTATAGGGATTTCAATGTTTAAAAATATTAAAAATAGATCCTCCACTTGGAAGGTTGAATATAGATGATGCTTTCACAAGATGAAAACACAAAATGGTAAATGAAAAGGAAAATGCTTAAAAATCTAATTGGCCCTGTTGAGCTGATTAAATTATTATTTTTTGCTATTCTAGTCATTTCACGGGCCTCCTAGCTAGTCAGGACTGACTAAATGATGTGAAGTTGGTTAATGACATAGTAATGTTACCTTTTCCTCAAGGGAAATGATAAGATTTGTCCCAGTAGTTATAGACCTGTTAATCATAAATAGTGTTATGGAAGAAAAATATCTTGGTGTTATGATTGATCAGCCTCTTAAAATATCCAAGCATTGTGCTATTGATAGTGGTAAGGCAAACAGGATTTTAGGTTGTATCTACAGAAATATTTAACACATATATTTTCATTGTATACGTCACTGGTTAGGCAATATTTGGGCCACTAGAACATACCAGGGATGGAAATGTGTCATACAATGACAGGTTAAGATCTCTAAACTTATTTTGTCCTAAAAAAATGAAGCATTAGATGGAATCTAATTGAGGTGTTTAAATTTGTTAGAGAAGTGATGGTGTTGATGCATGATCTTTTTTCATTCTTAAGGACAAGAATGTTAGAACTAAAGGACAAAAATATAAATTTTTGCAGGGTAGGAGTCAACTTCAGCTAATACAGCTTCATTTTTCTAACAGGATGATTGGCCTTTAGAATGTGTTACCTTAATATGTATTGGATGTAGTAAATTGAATGGAGATTAAGTGAAGGCTTAATGAATATTTTAACAATAGGCATTGGCTTTGTTTTTTTCTTAAAGATTAGTGTAGTGGACAGGATAGCCTAGATGGACCAATAGGTCCCTTTTTGTCTTTAAACTTTGACATGTTAAAATTTTGTCTTAGCACTATTATTAGTGATAAGCGCATAAGGCAAGATAACAGGAGATTGAATTAACTTTTTTTTTCTGATTCAAAGAATGATGTCACAGGAAAGTGAAAAACCAAATGTGACAATCAAATTTTCAAAAGAAAAATCTGAAAGAAAAACCTAAAACACGGTGATTGATACTTTGTGGAGAATCTTTAGCACAAGTTATTGAATTTTCTAATATACTTCAAACCCCGTAAGTACAATCAAAGTAAGGAGTTTTCCAGTACATTTTAAATACTTTAAATATACCTATAATGGAGATAAATAACATCAAAGAAAGCAGCAAAAATTATTTAAGAAGAAAACTGATAGTGTAGACATTGGATACAAAATAAACCTTCCTAGGAAATTCATGAACATTACAATTCATATCAAATACAGTAAATAATGCATATATTGTATTTGAAAGTTATCAATAAAAGTAAAAGCACCAAAATGGACTGATTCACTATAACATTTTATTTACAATGTTTAAAATATTGATTTGTATTGTAACAACCATAAATACAGAGCTCAAACTTGTCACTTGTAGAAAATATAATTTCCAAATACTAATTTGTACCCAGATACTACATTTAATTCAGAACTCATGAAAAATTATAAAGGGTCAAAAACTTTATATACAAAGTTATAACCTTTTAATTATGTTGCAAATAACTGATTTACAGGGAATTTCAAAACTCACATAAAGCAGAAAAATTTCCAGACTATTTTACATAACAATCGTTATGGAGTGAATGCCTTTTTTAAGATGAGGAATCAGGATTATAATTAGCTAGACTTGTCATAAAATAGCATTAGACCTACTATAATTTTTTACAGTTGCTTTATATTCAGTCACATATGGTTTTCAAGCTAGTGTTTCGACCCATATTGTGTTTGTTGTGTCCTAGCAAAGCCTGATGAGCTATGTATTGAGTGAAAAACATCAACAGTAGATATGGCAGATACAGTGTGGTTGAAATAGTATTACACACTCTTCTTGAAAATCCCTAAAGGACTGAATAAAGAATGTACTAAATTCTTTTGTAAAGTATAATTATATTTTATATACTTATAAAAAAGGAAATTTAAAACTGGTGTGAACATTTTCAGAATGGCACATCAATTTTCTAAAGTTATGCATTTTCATTTAAACCCAGGGATCAAAATATTACCTTCCTGCATTCCCGAGGAATTTAACTTTGTTTGAGGAATTTCATCTATTTAGTTGGCTTTCCCATATGGTAATGCATGGTCCATCCATATTCCTTTAGTTATATTTGTATAAATTAAATAAAAAACAATTCATAAGGAAATGCAACTTTATATGAGGAAATGTAATTGTCCTGATAGCTTTCCCTCGAATAAGTGTAATTTTATTTCATTATTTCTATCCCTGAAACCACAAATCATGTAATGAAAATTCATTTTATGAATTGATGAAAGTAATATAACGAACAAAATTTCCTTCCACATATAGGATTTTTCATTTACAATAATATTTCAATAATTATATCCTAATACATTGTCTAACCCTTTCCATATGGGTCACGGGTCATGTCATCACGTTTGTTGACTCGCATTCAAAATTTTATTGAGCTACTATTTCATGAATTTATGTCAATAAGTTTGGTATCAAACTATATTATAATTCAAATTTTAGTATTATACATTACTCAATTTCTTAATTTAAAAGTAAATATTAAAAAAACACAGTTAAACATTGATTTTTGTGTGCCGTGGTATGTTGAACGCAGCACTGGTTCATATTAGAAATTTGTGATGTCAAAATACTAAGTCTATATTTTTGTATGAATTAGGAACTCAAATTATTGATATTGACAAGCTAGAATGTAAAATAAGAACCTCTTATCTTTTCTATTTGCTAAGGTATTGCTTATTTAACAAATCAAACACAGTGGCACCCAAACCACCTCTTTCCAATTTTGGAAATGCTCACTTACATACACTTACTTCTATATATATATATGACATGAATAATGAATTGGAAGCTCAGAATGTCCCCCAAGTGGCTTTTTCAGCAATTTTAAATTCTTAGGACTATAATTTCTTTCTTTTGAACCAAGATTTCAAGGAGGTTGGGTGTCTTTAGTTTGTATGAATTTTTATATTTTTTTAGAATGAAATACAGCTTAGTTACTAAGCATGATAAATTATAGTGGAATTCTATGGTATTGATATAGTAATTTATGATTTTTTGGTTATTCAACTGTATATATAAAACCTAAAAACTTTTATTCGTTTCA